GGACTGCTATCTCTCAGCTGCCGCCCCATGTGGGAGTGAAGAAAGAGTGAGGGGTAGGTGAGTGCAGTCCTTATATAACGAGTGACAGGTGAGTGCAATTAAGGCCAAGCACCACACCCAATCAAAGGTGAGGAAAAGAAACAAGGTGCATTTGGTGATGTGAATGTGCTGAAAGGTGAGCCTTTACAACAAGAACATTAGAGTCTTTCAAAGCTTTGATGACTTCAGGCATTTTGAATAATATGCACAACCAATGTGTTTTATCACACCTCAAACTCAAACAAAAGCACATTGATATCTTTGTGTGCCTTAGTGAAGCGTAATGTTACAGTTCCACAGTTGCTCTTTGTTCATAACTTCCAGTAATGAGGAAAAAACAGAAGTCATCAGCCTGGCTGATCTGTCGATGATGTTTTCTAAGGGGTTTCATGTAGTTACAACAACAGTAAGTGGTCTAAGCCATGTTAGTGATGGAAATAAATTTGCAGGTTAAGTTAACGTTTTCTCACAGTCAGAGTCTGTGTGGATGGCATCCACAAACTGAGCGTCAGAAGGGTCCAACCGGCTATAGGTGTCCGCTCCTTTAAACATGGGTCCAGCAGGGTCCAGGCCTGTTTGAAAGTTAAATATCTTTTAGATTAAGCACATGCCATGAAATTTTATATTACTAGAAACAACAAAAAGTGTCATTTTTCTCCAGTAGTCTCATAATGAAAGAACTTCCTCTCTAGGGAAACTATGATCAGTGTAGTACACATTAGTGTTTTGTGTTTAAAATGTCAAACAGTGTCCCCATGTCCTGGGAACATGACTAGTCTTTTTATATGAGGTTTTTAGTTTGGATTTTATGGTTGTAGTTTATTCTATAAATATTCAGTGACCGTTTGTAAGGCAGAGGTTTGGCAGGACTGAAGAGTAAAAAAAAATGGGAACAGTAGAAGAGAGGAAGCGAGAGAAAGTAAATATTCAATTAAATGTTCAGTAAACAGTGAGTTTAGCTGCAAACAGCATTGCAAAAAAATAAGTAAATAAAAAATGTCCTCACTTTCTCCAGCATAGCTATTTTTTTTTTGTAGAAATCTTGTTGTGTGTCTGCCTTTTGTCTTAACCCAGACACAAAAATAGGGACACAAAAATCCCCTATCACCTAAATAAACAAATGTATTGGTTCAAAGCTTTAAAGTTGCTGAACTCTACCAGTCACAAAAAACAATAACAAAATCCAAACAACCGTCCTGATTAACTGACCATCAAACCAACAAGCAAGTCAAACAACCATTGTGCCTGCCAACCAACCAACTAACCAACCCACCCATCCTGTGGACCACCCATTCAATCAACAATAAGCTAAGGGAACATTTAGAGAAAGCTTTTGAATTTCTTTATTCATCAGCTTGGTGTCATTTTCAAATTTTATTCTTGTTGGGATCAGTAAAGCCTCTGATTTAACCCCACACAAGTCTGTGTCATCAGACAAAAAGACCTAATATTATCAACTGAACAGTGGTGTATTGTGCTGGTGGTGCTCTGTTGAAAGGGACTGAGCCTTGTCAAAAAACTTCACAGTGTCTCTTTTCAATGTACTGTTGTTCTTTGAAGAGCCCTGCTAATTTTTCAGGGTCACACTGAGATCTCTGAGGAGCCTGCGCTGTGAAAACCTTCACTGTCTTCACTCCTGTTGTCTCCTTATTTCTGTAAACCTAATACCAGCTACCAGCAACCTAAACTTTATTTCCACCACAAGGAGTATTATTCTGAGGTGGAGCACATGTGCAATGTCTTTTTAAGTGTGCAGTTGTGTTTCCAATTCAGTTTTACATTGCAAGAGATAATATGTATGTAAGGTGTCTGAACTCACCTGTGATTCTTCCTATTTTCCCTTCAAACAAAGTTCCCACAAAACCAGCGACATGTGCCCCGAGACTGACCCCGATAAAGTGGAAGGATTCGAGTCTGCAGCCATGATTCTGTTGGAGAAGAGAATCGCAAGAATAGACTCTGTATTCAATATAAGCAACCACAAACATATTTTTGTCATTTGTAGAATGAAAAAAAATAACTCTTGCAGACTTTTTTCATAGACTACATAATATCTAGAAAATACTTCTTTAAAGAGTAAAATTAATTGTGCCTGAATTACATTTACATTGCTCAGGGTCGTATTGTGGCTAACGAGCATTTGAACAGCTTCGCACCTGCAGCTGATTGATGAGGACAGAAATCTGTATGGCCACCTCTCTGTAGATCTCTACCACCAGGTTGTAGGCAAAGGACGCACTGCGGACCCAGTCTACCACCACCACATTCACATCTTGAGATCTTAAAAGCGCCTGGCTTAACCTCTTCACCCAGGAGGGCTTACTCCCACGGGTCCTGCAAGGATGGGTTGCGGTCAGAAGGCCATTAATAGTATATTAATATTAAAAGTCTAGTTAATAACTACTAAATTCTCTTTTTAAACTACACTAAGCTGGTGAGCTTAAAATGTCAATACTGAACAATTTTGATAAAGTCTAGATAACATTTTTAGTTGGTAATACTTGTGGTTAAGTTAAATGTAAATAAGCTAACACTCTTTTTGTTAATACAACTCAAAATGTATAACTAAAAAAACATTAAAAAAGCAGATAATCTCCATTACTTTTGCCTATTAAATCTTCCAAGGAGACAGTTTTAATGTCTTTTCATATTGAGCAGAGCAAGTCATTACGCTTGGCAACACTTCAGTTGAAATAAACCATTTATCACATTCGAGTAACAATGAATGGAAAACATCAACTGTGGCCAGTGTTGGGAAGGTTACTTTTAAAATGTATTCCATTACAGATTACAGAATACATGCCCCAAAATGTATTCTGTAACGTATTCCGTTACGTTACTCAATGAGAGTAACGTATTCTGAATACTTTGGATTACTTAATATATTATCATGCTTTTTACAACTATATGAATGTACTATTGCTGTGTGATTTATTACTGTTACTGAAGGTCCGCGGCTCCGAACCGTAGTAAAGGGACCTCTGACTAATACCTTGGGTTCCATGTCGGGCTCGTAGCCGAAAAACTAGCTTTACTTTGTTGTCTGGGTCAACTTTGCTTGCCAGAGACAAAGAGAGGCGTCGTTTCGGAGGAAAACACGAACACAGCGTACAGTCGGGTCTTAATAGCTTACTTACAACTGGGCTCGTCAGGCACTCTTCTTGGCTGCAGTGGTTATTATTATATTTACATGCTTCCAGCTCCCGTTTCTGCTTGATGACAGCTCGTACTTTTCCACTGGCCTTTTTCTCCCTCCTCGCGCTCACAGACACATAACGGGCATGGCAGTCCATTCTCCCTGCAGCACGGACTACACTGCCCATGAGGCTACATTCTTTAGAGCTATACCTGTAGCATTCTGCCTATTAACTTAGCACAACAATAACAACAACAACAAAAGGCGCTCTCTCACCCAGGAAACACAGAGAGAGAGAGAGAGAGAGAGAGCGTCACTCTGTAACCATGGCAACCGTAACCGTGCCACCTGGAACAACAGAACGTAGCTGTCAAACAAAACCCAGCTGTTACTCTAGCACTGATAGCACTGATCTGTCCAAAACTATTACATTTGTTTCATTTAAAGATTCAGAGGCTCGTATGCTGAAACTAAATAAGGATCTCACCTGTACCCGTGGATGATAACCTTTGTAGGACGCGAGGGGTTGAAGTAGGAGTTCTCCATGGTGAGGGAGGTCTCATTGAATGCTTGTGGACAGTCCATATTTTCCCTGGTCAGCAGCAGATACTGGACGTTCAGTCTGACTCTTTGCTGCTGGTATTGCCGCCATGTGATGTTGTTGAGATCAGCACAGTGATTATCTTGCTGCCTTTCATCTGAAGCTAGTAGAAGTAGAAGGGCATAATACATACTATGTAGTTGTTGTTTTAACCTCACTGTATCACGAAATAAAACTTGCGGGTTTTGTATTTGACAGCATTGTGATTACCACTCTTCTACTACAAAGCCATGCTGATGTAATAGATGCAGTATGTGTTTTACCATTGGCTTGCTAAAATATGCACAGCGTGGATGAGTATATGTGCTGCTCTAAAACCTATAGACACATTTAAGGATTAATGGCGTTTTCCAGACGTGTAAGCTGCCAGTTCAACAGACATTAATGCACCTCTATACCATCAGACTTGCAGGGTTTTGAACTAAACACTGATGACAAGTTGGATGGTCCCTTTCCTCTTTATGGAAGGAAGAGTCCATGTTTTTCAAAAGGAATTTCAATTTTTGATTAGTAGATTTATCTCAGTTTAAACCTTTGATGTTATTGTGAAATGTGGGTTCATATGATTCACAAATCACTGGATTGTGTTTTTATTTACATGCTGCACAGCATCCTAACCTTTTCAAAACTGGATAACCAATTGTCTTCCCCTTTACTTCAAACATCACATAACAATTAGTGTGGCAGTCCTGTGCAGCTTTAAGACTTTGGCTTTACTATATTTGGAAGTAATTATTTAAAATTTGTCTCTACTACGTTTATCTGACCCCTAACGTCACCAGTAATTAACAACACACATTTAACCAACATTTCTCAGTCTTTCAAGCTTGTGACCTTTAACTATGAAGCAGTGCCTAATCGGGACTTCTTGACAGGTTTTATAGGTCTATGCATATTTAATGATCAGATGATTAACAATCTAATAATGTCAGCCATAGTACTATATTGGTCACTTCAGGCATTTTTCTGCTAGGACAATAGCTTCACTTTTGACAGCCATCTTTAGGACATTTTACTGGTAATACATTAAGTATTACCAGTAAAATGTGAAATGAGCATTTTCTTCTTTGATTCTTACAAAGACACTTGGAATGCAGATAGCAGAAAAAGAATCCCACTTTACTGTAGAGGACAAGTTCCTCGTCTGTATATATGGTGCTATGTGTTACGTAATCACTGACTTGCGACAAAAACTCACATAACACAGTCCCTGTTCCGTCTTTCAACCCTCTTTGCATACATATTTAGAATAACTGTATGGAAAAATGATGCAGTAGAGCAAATCTCCTTCATTGGCACAATACTTACCCACCACCAGTGATGTGATGTAGACCGACAAAATGCAGAAGAGGAAGGTTTTGCACTCCCAAAGCATTTCTGTGGTGTCAGTGAAGTGAATGTTGAAAGTAGCTGCCAGGAGTTTGTTAGTTCTTAATGGTGCTCAGCTGCTCTCTTTAGCTCCCAGATTGGTGATCAGCTTTAGGCTTGACTAAATCCCAGCTCTGTGCAGTGCTGTAACACTGAAACAGAAACTCAGAGTTTATCTGGCAAACATCAGGGGTGAAGCAATGCTGGAATCCATATAAAACAGGCCAAATTAGTCCAGAATATAAAGACCCGGGTTCACTGTTTCTTTTCCTCTAACGTTCCACTTTTAAACTGAACGTATCCACAACAAACTTCTCGGTGTCATTTTCTTTTTGTTCTTCGGATTCAATTAGGGGGCCAGTTTTCTTTTTTATTCCTTTCCCAGTCAGGGTTTGCTCTGAAAAAGTGGTTGAAAGTCTTTGCCTGGTGGTGAATCCATGACCTCATTTGTATTCAATGGCTGTTTGTTTAAAAGGCTGGACTCTTGGCCTGGCTGCCCACTAGATTGTGTGTGTGTTTGTGTGCGTTTGAGAGAGAGAGAGAGACCTTCATTGCGTAGGTGGGTTTGCGTGGTTCTGCTTGAGAGAGACAGGGCATCTGACAGTGACCGGAGAAATCTGGAAATCAGTAATCAACAGACTGATTTTTGAGTCTTAATTCTTTTTTTTACATATTCAAGCAATTCATGTGAGTCCATCACACACTATTCAGTCTCTATGACAACATTCATTTCCTGGAAACCTAACCTATACTTAATCCAAGTGTTCATCACAAACTGCATGACTTACACCGTGAGGAGTTGCTTTTTGTTGTTAAAAAGAGAGGCAGGTTTCCACAGTCTGACCGTATGTCACACTAGTAACACTGATACACACATGCATTCATGCACGCACAAATGTAATCCTTTGCATTTTCTTTGTGTTAATGTGATTTAAAGCCGTATGTGCAACGTGGACTCTCCACTTAAGTATGGCGAGTTTATTTTTTATCAAATGGCAAAGTTTGCAATGTCACTGAAGTTCAAGATGATGAGCTTTACTAAAAAACATCAGTAAAAATACAATGAGAATGGGAATTTTTTTTCTCACAAACACTTTATTAGTATTCGTAAGACAGAAACAGCAGGTCATGCAGTAGTTTTTTAACTGAGCACATATCCTCTGTGTCATTTTGGGATAAATGGCTAGCAGTACAGATTCACAGCTCCTGCTCTAAGACAGTATGACTTTAGTGGCTGTGTTGTCAGTCGAACAAAAATATACGACAAAGTTATCATAGTGTACTTTGAAAAACTTTCACAAACATGCCATTTGAAAGAAATGTCAACACTCATGCTCTGTTTTCACATGCTGTACATTTCTGCTTACTGTCATAGGAAAACTATAAATCTGTGTTATTCATGTAAAAAAAATCACAATTGGCAAGAATGGAAACAAAACAAAACAGAAACATTGTTACTGTAGCTAGTGGTGTTTGGTGTGCATGTTGTAGGTATTAAAGCTTGAAGCCAATGTGGAAACGATAAAGCTGTAGTTTCATTAATGCTCACTTGAGGCTGGCTCTACATGTATGTCAGTCCCCCTAGACTATCCTTAATAGGCTTGCCAGTCTTAGTTCAAAGGTTAGCACTTGTTTTCTATGTGTAGCACTCATGTGCTAACCCACTTCCCATGTGGGTTAATGACGTTTATTATCTTATCTTACAAAGTTAAGCCTTAAAAACAGGACTTCACAATTCCATGGTTAATTTCAAATTATGTCTATATGTTTAACAGTTTCACAAAAAAAAGTATTAATTGGGTGCTAATGACTTTTGGTCATTTCTCATCTATTTAGACAAGATTCTTTCTCTCTCTGCTGGCAACTGGGAGGCGAGCCATTCAGTGGTGCATTTGCGTGCTTCCTCCCAGCTGTATTTGGGGACGTATCCTAGATCCCTCTTGGCTTTCTCATAGGAAAAACTGAATGGCGTGTTCAACATGACGAGGAGCTGACGGTTCAGTGGCGGGACGATGCGTATGAAAGGCCGTAGGATCCAGGCTACTGTCTCCATAAGGAAAGTTAGTAAGTAGAAGAGGGTGAGTGGCAACATGGGTTTCTCTTGAATACTGAAACCCAGAGGAGACATCACGGCGTGGTTGAAGTCTGAATAACTCACAGGTGGTGTGTCATCAGAAACGAAGTAAAACTTCCCTCCAACAGCACTTCTTTTCTGCGGATCTTTGAGGCTGCGGGATGCTTGGAGATGAGCGGCGGCCACGTTGCCCACATAGACAGGCTTCACAAGGGCCTCGGGGAGCGACATACGAAGCAGAACATTTCGGTTTTTTATCCCATCGGCCATGTGGCCTAGGAGGAAGCGGCAGCCCTCTCCATAGATATACGCAGGTCTGAGTGCACAGGTGGCTAGCTGGCCTCCGTTCTGGAGCACCTCACCATCGGCCTTCAGGGTTTTCTCCTCAGCCTCCCTCTTGGTCTTGCTGTAGTTGATGCCCAAAGTAATCTCATAGACGGTGTCCTCACTGCCATTGATTATGGGTTCTCCCTTGGAGTTTGGCCCCATCACTTCAATGGTGCTGGTGTATATGAAGGACGGCACGTTCTCCCGAATACATGCCTCCAAAAGCAGCTGGGTTCCTACGAGGCAAAGATGCTGCTGAGTTAATATAACTAACAATAAACACTGCATATCTCAGAGCAGCACAAAACTTTTATGTTATCAGAGCAACAAGAGAATACGAAAAAGACAAAGAGATTAATTCTAATTTGGGCAATTAATTAATGCATTCATGTATTCCTTTATACTAGAAAAGTTGCTGCCAAATCATAACAGAAATATTTATAAGTTTTATAAAGCTTATAACAGGAAGCTGGTCTTCAGTACATGTGCCGAGTGACAAACTGAATAAAGTTCAAATGTAAACATCAAAAGAAATTGCAGTTTCTGGTAGAAACATAAGTTTAAAGTGTAAATAAATATCTGCAATTATATTATGTCATCTCTGATTATGCGTTTTCCCTTCATTATTTTACTGCTGTTTGTCTGTTTAGGTTATTCTTGTGTCAGGTTGCCAGTTTTGCTATGTATCTGCTTTAAGATACATTATATATAATGAAACCTGGCGCTTGTGCTGTGGTGCTGAACATGGTAAAAACCAAAATGTTAAAAAAATAAGAGAACACTTGAATCACACAGTGGATCTTGATGAATAAAATATTCAGTGATAAATGTGCTCCCCCTAGTGATCTTCTTCCACTTATTCAAATCAGGGTCGCAGGTGGGTGGGTAAGATACACCCCAAAGAGGTCTGTCGCAAGGCTAACGCACAGATAAAAACGTGTTTGCAACTATTCACACAGTCAGTTAGCCGAAACCCATGCATGTCTTTGAACTGTGGGAGGAAGCTTGAGAACCCACGCAGACACGGGGAGAAAATACAAACTTCAGACAGTACTAACCACCACATCACCGTGCCACCCTGTGAATCACTCAGTTATAAAAAAGGCACCTACAGTTATGGTTAGGAGTTTACATCCACTCATCATGGACGTGAATATTATGGTAATTTTGAGGTTTTAGTTATTTATTCAAACTCTTCTTTTTTCCACAGAGGAATGATTGTACAGCAAAATCTTTAAAGACTTAAACAAACAAGAACTGGGTACACAAGTTTGTATACATATATATGTACTTATATGTGTATATATATATTTTTTTTAAGGCAAGGAAACAGGGAGAGAAGGTTAGCTTTGCCAAATTATTACTAGTAATAAACGACCAAAAACGACAGTGATCTGAAACACACTGCTGATGCTGTAAAAGTATACCTATATAGACAAACACACAATTTGATATTATCAGTTGTGGCATTCCCAGAGTTGGACCTCAACATTATGGAAATAGTATGAAAGAGCTTTGAATGTCCTTCAAGAGGCCGGGAACACTTATCTTGAAGGCTACTTAAAAAAACAAGGAAGCTTGAATAAAAGAGTTTGGGCTGTGTTGAAGAATAAAGGTGGTCATACAAAACAATGACTTTCAAGCTTGTTAGAATTGCACAGGCTGTTTTTGCCTCATATGCTGTAAAGAAATGAGGAACGGCTCAACACTGTTGCACAGTACTTTAGCTGCACTACAGGAAGGAAAACTATGTCATTTGATTTGCTGGTGAACAGTATTTAAAATGCATTGGACAGTTGTAGGTTTAACTAAAATAAAGCAGCAGGAATATTCATATGACATGCAAGTGCTTTAAGGAGTGTAAAGTAAGTGTGAACTGGAGGAAGTAGAAGTAAGCACTGGGCTGTAATAGTGAAAGCAGATCAAAGGCCAGTTAACACAAGTAATGAAAGTAGTTTTAAATGTCAGTGGTACAAAAAACAAAACCTTTCAACTGTAAATAATTCTGCTTCTTTGTTTTATGTATGTGATTTGATAAATGTATCTGTTAATAAATTAATCTATACTTAAGTCACATGAATTAGGTAAGCCTTCGGTGGATTTGTGACAGCCTCACCTTTGACATTCACTCCGAAAATCTCACTGTACTCCACTGAGTCTTTGATGTCAATGATGGATGCGATGTGGAAGACGATCGATGCCCCACGGCAGCATTTGATCAGGAAATCACCGTCCCTCATGTCCCCTTCGAAAGCTCGCAGCTTTGTCTCACCTTTGCAGTCTGACACAAAACAAACCAGTCACTGAGACAAAGCAGCAAGACGCAAGTTATTTAGTTTAATCTAAAGCAAATATTTGGTTTTCAATCTACTGTATTGGAGACATTAAAAACATTTACATTACAGCTTTTAATTGAGGAACTCAGAAAAGCTGAATTCTCAAATCTTTATATTGGTATATTCTTCGATTATGTCAGTAAAGGAATATATATAAGACAAATCTACTCCTGCCCATTTCATATCAATTCATGACATTTTAATCTGGAAAAGGGGATGTTTTGTAGAAAAGAATGGTTTACCCTCCAAACTCTGCAAATACTGCAGCTGTATCTGTTTGTCCAGAAGTCGAATCTCAGCCATTTTCTCTTCTTCCAGCAGCAGCCTCACCAGCCTCTTTCCCAAGAATCCACAGGCCCCCGTCACCACGCATACATCACCTCGCAGAGACATTGCAGGTCTCTTTGTATAAAATAAAGGCCCGTTAACAGTCAAAAAGCAGTTGTTTTCTCTCTGATGCAGAGCCTTCTCAAAAACAGCGGCTAAAAATGAAGAAAAACCCGAATACAGAATTGGTGTTGGATGTTTCGTGATCTGTCTGTGAGGGACGGACAACACCTTCTGTTCTCTCCACCTCAGCCCTTTTTGTAAGCCCAGAAAGTTACTAAAAAAAATTCTTTTCGTCCAAGGCAGTATTGAAAAAGGGGATGGGCTCAGCTACTCCAGCATGGAATGTGATGCTTTCTGGGGCTGGACAAAAAAGCGGCTGGAAGGGCTTACACCTTATGCCAAGGACATTTGCTTTTGGAAAATGTAATCTTTTGCTTAATTAGAAGGAGTATTTCATTAGAAGAGGCAGGGAGACTCAGCATGCAACATGGAGGGAAACAAAACAGGAGCTGAGGGTTCTTTGCTGCTTTTGAACAATTCTACACGGAGAGGCACGTACCCCGGCCTAAGAAGCACTGAACAAACACAGAATCAGAATAAAAAATCTATTACAAGTAAAGTGTTTAAAATCCCATTAAAGTACAGAAGAACTACTGCTGAGTAGTCTAATATGTAACAATAAACCTACATATATAAAACATAAGCAGGTTTTTCCCACTGAAATGTACTAGTTAAATAAAAGATCATGAAGTGAGACGTCCTCTGTCAAATAACCGATTTACCTGCCGCATAGCACTTCAATATCTTTGACTTTGTTACATTCCACTGTGGCTTTTCAGCTCTTTGGTAATGCATTTTGTGTGTCTTTTATTGTATTTAAGGGCGCGCCTACAATACTCATACACCTTTTAATCACACTGTACTACGGAGGAACATACACACAAAGGCATCTGATAGCATGGTAAATATTAAATTCATGGCAGTGCAATTACAGAAAAACACTGAACTGGTTTTGTTCAGTGTTTAATAGCACTGTGATGACAATGTTTAAATTTCTGTTTTATGTTATATTAATACGTCTTTCTTTGTTTGAGTTTAACTGGGGGTTTGGATTCTCCT